GTCTAACTGCCTCCCTACAAGCGCGAGCAGAGTAGGTATACTCCTCTTTAGTAATCTCTCCCCGTTTCCACTTTTTATATGCCCCCCCTTTAGCCCATAGGCCTCTCTGGATTTCTCTGGTCAGCCAAGGAAGCCTCTTGGCCCCTTTCCCCCTTTTTCCCCGCATTGGGATCGTGTCCCTCTGTGCCCGAAGGATCATTTCCTTAAGGCACAGTCACCCTTCCTGGACTCCCATCTCTTCAAAATTCTTAATCTGCAGTGCGTCGTTGACTAAGCACCTGAGTTCATTCAAGTCAGCTTTCCTAAAGTCTAGCACTTGCACCCTACTAGTTACCTTACCCACTCAACGTCTTATGGTGAATTCTATTATTTGGTGATCACTGTCCCCCAGGTGACCACCGATCTGTAGGTCTCCTACCATGTCATCCCCCGTTGCCAATACCAGGTCCAGCAAGGCCTTCCCCCTAGTGGGACCATGTACCTCCTGCTTCAGATGGAGGTCATGTACATAGCATAGGAACCTGCGTGAACGGTGGGACTTTGCTGTCTGTGTCTCCCAGCAGATGTCTAGGTAGTTTAGGTCCCCCATGACTACTGCCTCCCTAGTTTTTATGGTCTCTGACAGCTGCCTCAGCAGCCCCAAATCTAGTTCTTCCCCTTGGTGTGGGGGTCTGTAGCAGACCCCTACCATCAAATCCCTTTCTCCTTGACCTCCATGTAACCTAACCCACAATCCTTCTACTTTCTCCTCCTTCGATTCCGTTTTGATAAGGGTCGATGTATATCGCTCATTGACATAGAACGCAACCCCTCCCCCTCACTTCCCCGCTCTATCCTTTCTGTACAGCTTATAACCCTCAATGTGTACTGCCCAGTCGTGGGAAGAATCCCACCAGGTTTCTGTTAGCCCTACTAAGTCGTAGGTGTTTTCTGCAAGCAGGAGTGCTAGTTCATCCTGCTTGCTCCCCATGCTCCTAGCATTAGTGTATAGGCACTTGAGCCCTGTGACTGGCGCCTTTGTTGCCCCCCGGCTCTGATGCCCCAAGGGCCCCTTATTGCTTACCTGCTTATTGCTTACCTGCGGTGTACTTCTTGGCAACCCCTTGTTGCCAAGAAGGTTAACAGCATACTGGGCTGCATTAGTAGGAGCTGTAGCAGAAGGCCACCTCTGTTTCTCCCCAAAAACTCTACATTGTGACAATTTGGTTATCTCTTTAGGTAACCTGAGCTGGATACATTCCTGAGGGAGGGGGAAACCTGCTCCCTCTGCTTATGTGACTGGTATCACATACCTGGGTGAGGGGCTTGGGCTCCCTGGTGAACTAGAGACTGCCAGTCTGCCCAGAAACTAGTGATGCATTTCAAATTGGTTGGCTGAAAGCCAACAGGTACTGACCTCAATTGGACCAGGTAAATGAGGTCATAAGGGCTATATAAGTTAAGGACTGCCCAGGAGGAGGGGGCAGCAGCCACAAGGGAAACTCGGAGAGAGAGACAAGAGCTGGACCATCGGAAACTTGCTCTCTCTCTCAAAACTCATGATCAAGGAACTGCCTGCTTCCAGAGGGAATCTCCACCTGCCTCTGGATGATACTTGTGAGTAAGCTACCTGAGATCTAACTAGATATATAGCTTGCTATAACTCAGATGGGTGATCAAAGTCTATTCCAGCCATCCTGTTTGCTCTATGGGATTTCTTTGATACTACTCAATTCTGTACCCTACCCCTTGTAACCAATAACGTTCTCCTTTGTACCTAGTGTGGGAGACTTTTTGGGAGTGGGTCTAGATTATGCCTTGGGGTCCCCTTGTTTCAGCTGACTAAGGGAAACTACTACTTGTGCTTCCAATTGAGGGAAGCATCCCAAGTTTTTAATGTGAGTTAAATACCCTTGAGGGCTACTAGGCCTGTGTTTCCCAGGGGGTGCAAAGCCAGAATCAAGCCCATCCCTGAGTGGTGGCAGCTCTGCCCCCAGGCTAGCAGGTGTGCTCCAGGAAGGGGGTCGGCCAGACGTGAGGTGCCCCCAGGGAGGCACTTGTAGCCTGGAAGGTGGTTGGGCACAGTGGTCTGGGTGGCTCAATGCAGGAACACCCCCTACTGGCCTGCCACAGGAGTGTTGCCAGCAGATTGAGGGAAGTAATTGTTCCCCTCTGTTCTGCACTGGTGAGGCCACATCTGGAGTACTGTGTCCAGTTTTGGCTCCCCCACTACTGAAAGGATGTGGACAAGTTGGAGAGATTCCAGTGCAGGGCAACAAAAATGGTTAGGGGGCTGGGGCACATGACGTATGAGGGAACTGGGCTTATTTAGTTTGGGGAAGAGAAGGCTGTTGGGGGCGGGGTTGTGTGGGATTTAAGAGCAGCCTTTAACTACCTGACGTATGGCTTCAAAGAGGATGGAGTTGGACTGTCCTCAGTGGTGGCAGATGACAGAACAAGGAACAATGATCTCAAGTTGCAGCAAGGGAGGTTTAGGGTGGATATTAGGAAAATCTTTGTTACTCTGAGGGTGGTAAATCACTGGAACAGGTTACCCAGAGAGGTGTTAGAATCTCCATCCTTGGAGGTTTTTAAGACCTAGCTGGACAAAGCCTTCGCTGGAATGGAATGATCTAGTTGGGGCTGGTCCTACTTTGAGCAGGGAGTTATACTAGATGACCTCCTAAGGTCCCTTCCAAACCTAATTTTCTATGATTCTATGAAAAATTATGATATGTATTTTTTTTTTTTAACAATTTATATACAAAAATAAGATAAAATATAAACATATCCTGATATAAAGCTACATAAGTCTCTGGCTTCCTGTACTATTGATGGTTATTGGAAATAACCTGGTGACACACATTTCTACTTTATTAATGGAAAAATTCTTGATACAGTTCATGAAGGATAAACTTTAATCACAGTTCATTACAACAGTTTCTTTACAGTGTTCTTGCAGTAGCATTAGCTGGAAGATGTGACAAGGAGGTCCTTAGTCTCTTGCTGACGCTTCCTGGAAATGACCAAACTTCTCAGGCAGTGAAAGAACTTTGTGCTTTGCCAGTGCTGGACTTGTATACTATGATTGTACTGATTGCTCAGAATTTGAACTTGCGTAATATCATTTATAAGGTAAGAGAAGCAAATACTTCATTCCTGAGTGTTTGGAAAACTTTTAGAGATGTCAACTAGAATTATAAATAAATCATTTACTATCTATCCATTCTGCTGCTATCATTTTGTGTTGCCATAGACCCTTAGCCCTATAAAATCCAAACACAGCCCCTACTGAACTTCCTGTATCCTCATTTAGTACTGTGAAGCCAGTGGAGTGATTTGAAGAATGGGGCTGCATTGCCAATCATGTTCTCTATCACCAATAATATTGTAAATTAAGTAATAATTTGGGGAATTCTGGAGATTCTGTAGGTGAACCTAAACAAAAGTTTGATTTTTTTTTTTTCTTCTCCCCTCTAAAATTCCTGGCTGAGTGTACAGTTTTGGCAGTTAAATTAGCTGCATTTTTACTTTATGAAATTCAGTGTGGCATTGTTTGGGAGAATAAATACGGAACTCCATGATGCTACCATTACCTGAATCATTCTTCTAACTCACAGCACAAAGAAGTTGAAAGTATTCTTTGCTGTGGTAGTCCAGTGGGTTTTGGAATATGTCTCCCTCTCTGGCAGTAGCATATTCCAAGTTTTAGCTAAAACAAGGGACTTACAACAGTACTCAAGTGTATGGGTTGAATAAAATCAATCCAAGATTTCTTCTTGGAAGGATTACACCTCCAATACATAACACAGTACTGGGGCTTCCTTTCTTGTACTCTGCAAATAGCACCAAGCAAAGAGATCAAGAATCTTTTTTTCCAGCTAGACTCATTGGCTCAGGCTAATAGGATTCAGAATAATCTGAGATCAGTATGGCTGAAGCTGGATAAAACTTTCCATTAGAACTTAGATTATATTGAATTTAGACTCCTAAATGATCTGGACCATAGTACTACTCCACTCTCTGCCCACGTGGGACTGTCATCTAGGAATGACCATTGCTCACTTATTGTAGTTGTATGCGTACCTGAGCTTGGAAAATGGATCAGAAAGGGGGGTGGGGGGAAGGTGGAGATGGTGAGAGGGGTGAAGGGAGAGAAGTGAGGAACTAGTAGGGATGGAGAAGATTTAAGTCAGATACTGACTTTAAAAATGATTGAAATGGTAAGTCAATTTTAAATAATGAATTGTGAATTCTTTAAAATTAATGTTTAAGTGGTAAATTAGCATAAGGGTAAGATCCAGATTCAGTGGCAGGCAAAACACCTGTTGTGTTTACACACATGGAAATCAACAGAGTAGAAAAAGAGATCCATTTAGCTGGATGAGGAGAAGGATGCTCTGCAGGTTCTTGAATCCAAGTGGAAGGAGTTAAAACTGACTGCAATATACACTTTGTCTAGGCAGAACTTGGGACACTCAGGGTCTGCCTACAGATCACCCTATGGTGGTGTAGTGACATGCTATGTCACTGTATGGCACGCTACAGCAATGTAATGATCATGTGGGTCTACATGTGATCAACAGTTATGTCACCATATCAGCACACTCCCTTGTTGCAGTGCATTGCTGCAGTGAAATCTATCCACGCGCCACATGCACGGTGCAATAACCACCCATACTGTGCCATGATTCAGTACCTGCAAAAGGAAGTACTAAAGCATGGTGATGTGTAGATACACCCTTAGTGAACTGTATGTAGACTACCATAGGGTTTGGGTAAACTGTTTGCTGGGGCTCCTTTAAACAGCATATGAAAGAGGCTGAAGAAGTTATAAGCCTCTAATTGAATGATAGGTTAAATTTTGTGTGGTTAATTGGGGTTACGTCTACCTTTTTTCTCTTTCAAGGTCAAGATCCCTTCTGAGGTAGATAACTTGCTTAACATCTTGTTGGATCTAGTTTCTAGCATCAGCTCTCTTCTAAACAAAGCCCAGCATGTCATGGAAAACCTTCCTATGTTCTTCCAAGCCTTCAGAAATATCTCTCTACTGGACATCTCTATATTCCATCAGGTAAATGTATGGTCACTTTTTCAGTAATTACTAAACAGGTAAGTGAAATTGTCCTGTTTAAGATACCTAGTAAAGGATGTGTATTGAATAATTGAGAGGAATATTGGCAGACATGGGTATGTGCTCTGTGGCCTGCTAGGCAGTATTGTGTGATGAGTGGGTAGGGTTTATTGTGTTTGGGAAGATGTGTATGATGGCCCCTTTCACCACTGGTGAGAGTTATACCAGCATCTTTCCAGGTGGGGTACCATCCAATTACTGATGATCACTTCTTTTTCTTTTTTGTTGACTTGCCAGATGGCAGCCTAGCTTGACAGGTTCTTGGCTAATAATAGCATTCATTTTCCTTGTTCTGGAGATATAATAGTCTTCTTTACTATCATTTTATTAGCTAAGCATTATGGGTTTTTTTAAGCAGTGGCTCCTTTATCAATATGGGGAAATTGTTTGCCTTTTTGTAAATTGGGTGGTAACATTTCTTCAAGGGTCCTTTACAGGTGACTGCAGGAGCTCCTCTGTTGGATCCTTGACTTTCTACATTAAATGGTAATAGCCTCTATGGCAAGAAGGTTGATCTTGCAGTTAAAGCATGGGTGGGCAATTATTTTGGCTAGAGGGCCACTTAACAACTTATGGTGAGTTGTTGAGGGTCACAAGGGTAGCCCTGCCCCTTGACAGCAGCCCTGCCCCCTGATTGTCACCTTGGGGACCAGACGTACCACCCCTAAACCCTGATCTTTGCCACTGGAAGTCCCTCCCCTCACCCCCAGAAATAGTCCTTTTGGGAGAGGGGTTTGCCATCTTGGAACCAGAAAAACCCCCCAAATCATATACTAAAAATCAAACACCTACTATAATATATTTTAATTTTATTTTGAAAAATATTATTGTCTTGATTTATGTGTGTTTGCATAGTGTATATAGAGATGATTGCATAATAGCTCAAAATAGTTTTAATTTTTTTATTGTGTGTGGAGTATGGTTGGGGGGTGGGTGTGGTATGTGTGTAACATTTGTGGGGGGAGGTTTGTGTGTGCAGGGTTTGTGAAGGGGTGTGGGGGTGTGTGTGTGGGGTTTGTGGGGAGATCTGTGAATGGGTGTGGGGGGTGTGGGAGTAGGGATGTGTATAAGCCCGCGGGGGTTGTGAGGGGGGAGGGTGTTTGGGTGGGTGTAGGGATTGTGGGTAGGTGTGGGTCCTCTGCCACCCCCCCCATGATGCACATCCCTTGCTGTTGGTGGCAGCAGGTGGCAGGCCCTCAGGGTGCTCATGGGCCACAGCAGGTAGGGCTCCCCACCAGTGCATGACTCTGACTGAGTCCTAGGATCTGCACCTGGCAGCACATAGCCATCCTGGCCCAACCTGCTGGTGTGTGCATTTGAACCAGACTGGGTTAGCTCTGTGCCAGCATGTGGATCTTCCAGTACTGTAGACAGGAGCCATGTGCCATCAGGCTGGAGTGGGCCAGCTCTGTGTCTCCATGTGGGGCTTCTAGCACTGCAATGGGGAGCTGCACATGGAGGCATGGAGCCAGCCCAGCCTGATGGCACGTGATTCCCTGCAGGTCCTGATCCACGCACCATCAGGCCAGGCAGTCTCCATGCCGCCATGTGCAGCTCTTGGCTCTCCTTCCAGGAGCTGTCCATCATTGGACCAGCTGAGCTGGCTCTGTGACAGCACAGGGGGTTCCCGGCACTGCAGCTGGGAGCATGAGCTGCCAGGCCAGGCTGAGCTAGCTCCGTGGCCCCATGTGCAGCTCCCCGCTGGAGTGGTGGAAGCCCCATGAGGAGGCATGGAGCCGGCCTGGCCTGGTCTGATGGCATACAGCTGTGGCCTGATGGCCTACAGTGATTTTCTGGCATGGAAACAACCTGGCCTAGCCTGAAGGTGCACGCCAGCAAGCCAGGCCAGGCCAGTTCTTTGCTGTCATGTACAGTTCCCAGGACTCAGCTGGTACCATGCAGTGCTGTGGGGCTCTGCCTGCTGTGGGCCATGGGTACCCTGAGAGCTCTCCACCTGCTGCTGCTGCTGTTACTGCCAGTGGCAGGAGCTGTGTGCCATGCGGGGGGAGGGGGGCATGTGACAGGGAGGCCCATACTAGCACAAAAACCACACATATACCCACAAACTTCACCCTGTACTTTGCCCACAAATTTCAGACCCACCCACATACATTCCCCGCACCCACCCACATGCATGTGCACCATGGGGCCAGCTGGGTTGGCTCCGTAGCAACAGGTGGGGCTCCCAGCACTGCATCCAGGAGCACGTGCTACCAAGCTGGGCTAGGTTGCCTCCAAATGGGGCTCCTGGTACTGCAGGCAGGAGCCCCCTTCCCCACTCACCAGCTCTCCAGTCACATACCATCATGCTCAATGCTGTTGTACAATAGCTAAATCTTCCATAGACCACACTTTCACTGGTCATGTGAGCATTTCCTATAGATCTTTGAATTATATGAGAAATTAGAATGTTGTTAAGACAGCACTGGCCTTTGGATAAGTTCTTTTTAAGGCTTTTCTTTTCCTTATGGCTTTCCTGGTCCTGTCATAGCTCTGCTTCTTCTAATGCTCCTTATTCAAATGTGGCACATGTCTGTACAGGATTTTCAATTGGTTTAATTCAATGAAGCTATGCAAATCTATATCAGATGAAGACATGGTCCTTTAAACTTTCACTTTAAGCTCATCTAATTTAAAGAAGGTTAGAGACATCTATGGCTATCAATGAAATATGACTGGTTGGACTGAAAACCTAAATTTGATTATCTGATAAATATATGTTTTTAGAAGTTTCAGCTGACAAACCTCTTGCAAAGAAAAGAATTCAACAGCAGAGGGCTATCCTATCTCAGTTTTGCTTCCATTTGTGCCACTTCCTCTATCATCCTGAAGAATACAGCCCATATGACCCCATAGTTTTTTGTTCCTCGCATCTTGTTCTGGCAGAGTCTGTGTATTCTGCAGTGCTTTTTCTTCTTTTCCCCCTTGGGAAATTTGTCTGTTTTTGTCATCTATCCTTCTCTGCTAACACCTGCATGTAAAATTCATTTAATTGTTTTAGCAATTCAGTGCCTTTCTCTTCTGTCAATAAACTTACTCATGTGATCTCCTTAAAGGCTCTTCTATCTACATTACTGACCTTTTGTTCTTTTATGTACCAGGAAAAAAGTTATTTATCTTAATCTTCCTTTTGAGCTTCTTGCATTTGTTTCTCAGGGTTTCTCAGGTTCAGCTGCATTCTACTATACAAAATGTTCTTTTGCCCTTGATTATTTTGTTTGCTGCTTGGCTCATATCCACTGGTCAGGCTTGTAGCTCCTAGTTAAGATGTTGTTAAATGGCAAATGTTACCCTTGGGCTTTTATATATTTATCCTAAAAACACTCTCCATGTCCCCTGTGTGTCTTTTCCTAGTAATTTTTTATTCTGGTGCTAGCCAGTTGCAAATTTCCAACTTAGATGGCTGTGAGAGTACATTTTTTTCTGATAAAACGAACAGGGACAACGAGCAAAATTAATTTCAGAAATAACCTGGATCACCTTCCTTGACTTTTGTTTGCAGGGGTGATTTTTGACCTACTATCTAAAATGCACATTGAAAGCTTCATTTTCAACCATAGGAATAAATGAATATGTGAATAAAAATAAGAATGTCTTACTGTTAAACCATTTGTGATACAGGCAGCCATTTGAGTGATACCTAATTTTCTTCCAGGCAGACTAACTTGCCTTGTTATAGATAGATTTTGTCTGAAAGTGCAACTTTAACAGGAATGGAAACAACACTAACTGTTCTCAAAGGTCTGTGAAATATAAAGAGGCATTCTTCATGCTACATAGCATACAGAAAGCAACATTTACAAGTGTAATGACTGGTATACTGAGCTACTCTTCAGTGGTGACACGTAGGGGGTGCACGTGCACCTGTGGTGCACTCCCTGACGGCCAACATTCCCTGCTTAGGTGATTGGGGGGGAGGGCAGGCGGGAGCACTGGTGCCCCCCTGAGAGTGCTGCCTACTGGTTGGGGTGTGGGGGCACCAGGAGACGCGCTGCTGGCACTTCCGGGTGTGCCCCTGGCCCTTCTGGGTGCACTACTGGAATTTACGGGTCAGCACACGCAACTGTGGGGGGACCCCCCCGCAGTTGCTGACTGGCCACTCAGGAAGCACCAGTTGCCTATGCTACTTAGGACAAACCGTAGCATCTGGAGACTTTTTTATAATGGGTAAGATATTTGGAAAAAAAACACCACTTTTTCTCATGGTGAAAAGATCATGATTTTCATCATGATTTGCTCTTAAACTATTCATGGAATCATTTATTTTGCTAATTTTTGGTATTAATCTCTTTCACTAACAATTAGGTATAAAGGAGCATAATATTGGAAGGGACCTTCCAGGTCACAGGGTCTGTCTTGCTGTTGCCACACTATATATAGTTTATACATTTGCATCTTAAAACTAATTAGGTCATCTACCCCAACTGCTCCTGTTGTAAGGCTGTTCCAGATCCTAACGTCTCTAACAACTAATTACCTTCTGAAAATGTTTTACTACTTAGAGACATGGGTGGGGGAGAACCCAATGATTTACTTTCAACTTGGCGTGCCCTCACATCAAGTACAGCCACATGCCCAGGTTGAATCAGCTATTAGATAAAAGCACCAAAAAGCCCTGCTGAAGCATCTGATGTATACAGCTGCTGCAGAGTTGGGTTGAACTAACACATGCTGCTGCTTCTGGTAAAAATGCATTTTTTTTCTTATCCTATAAAAGCCTCTAGCCATTTTGAGGTGCACACACTGGGACTTTGGAGCACTGCAGGCCCTGTGTACCCTCCTGGACAGGATACAGCCTGCCTCTGCCAGTCCTGTCATCTAGCCAGAGCTGCTGCTTGGCCACAGGTGGGTGTTGTAAAAGGCTGCAGCCTGCTGCACCTACCCCACCCCCTCTCCCCCAGCCCTGACATTTCCTGAAGGCTGTTGCCTGGCTGTCCCTG